AGGGACATATGTTAGTGCAAAAGTAGAGTATCAATGCTTAATGCCAGTGACACGGAACAGAGGCTCTCAAAGGATCTTGCACATCTGTTTGTCTAGCTAGTCACAGACTGCAGACACTTTGTCTTTATTTCTCTCTGTTCAGGTCTCAGAGATAAAATTAAAGTAACATGGAGAATTTTTCAAATTTATTTTTAAGAATGCTGCTACACAGCTTTTGTTGTTGCTTTAGCAGCCTCAGGAATGCTGTGCATGTAATGTGAAATGGGAGTTTAGGTAGTCTGGGAGTAAAAGTCTACGTTCAGAGATGAGCCACACTGTGGCAAGATGTGAGAAGTGCACAGGCTTCAGAAGCAAAGGTAGAGAGAGTATAAAACCTACTGGTCCTTATGGGTTGCGCTCTGTTGAAACCACAAGATACTGGGATGCCTTTAAAAAGTTGCTTCAGTTACCTTTTAAAAGATTACCATGCTACCTAGAGGATATGTACCTAATGGGAGATTTCCTCAACCAGAGTGAATTATGGATGTGATGTTTAATAAAAAAAAAAAAAAAAAAAGAGATTTGGTGTAAGCAAAGCCACCCTGATTTGCCCCAGTAACATATACACTGAACAGGTTGCCCAGGAAAGTCTTGGATGCACCATCATTGGAAGTGTTTCAGGTCAGGTGTATGGGGCTTTGAACAACTTGATCTAATGATGGATGTCCCTGCCCATGGCAGTGGAGGTAGACTAGATGGTCTTTGAATTTCCCGTCCAAACTAAGCCCTTCTAAGATTCTGTGAAATCTGTAATACATTCTGTGGGACCTTGTCCTGTACTGGTTTGGTTGAAGTGAGCAGCTGACCCTGTGTGCCCATTGTACTGTTAGCTGGACTGCTGCTCCTGGTGTATCAGGCAAAGACAAACTGCCTGTTGAAAATTCCTTGTCACCTCCTTAACAACCTGCTGTCACTTAGGATGGATTAGTATGGGGACTGAATAGTTCTCTGCTATCAAGAATATATACAATATTGATATTTTGTCACTTGACCCAATAACTTAGGGTATTAGGTGAGCAGCTGAATAGTACGCACCAGGATCCATCACTACTTTGCCCGTGCTGCAGTTTGGACACTAAGTGCCTTCCATGCAAAGTATGTGGTAGATGGAAGGTTTAATAGTCTGCTTGAAGGCCAGGAAGTGGGGAGGGTGAGATTCCTGGCAGAACCAGGCCTCCTGGGAATCTCTGATTTGGTTATAAGCAGTGGACTTTTTGAATTAAACAGGGAACCGCTCCTGTAAGAAACCCTGTGTCACTGAACATACATGGCACAGGATGTGAGGTACCAGGTTTTCCACTGCTAAGTTGCTTTGTGTCCAGGTAGGCGGAAATCTGCATTTGCCTCTTTCTTGCCATGTCTCAGCTCCCGAAATTAGAAGGAGGAAGTGGCCATTGAGATGGCAGTCTGTATACCATGGCCCTAAACACAACTCTGCTCTGGACTAGAGCCCACCATTTAGAAAAACCCATCTCTTCCTGATTAAAATATTCCTGTGGTGGATTTAACATTCTTGGTACATGGTTTCAGTAATTAATTACCCGAACTGCAAAAACTACCTGCCTTGTTTCTAGGCTGGAGCTGGGGTATGGGCACAAGGTCTGTGTCTCTGAGAACTGAGTCAGAAGCAAGCCATCTGGGCAGTAGTTGGTCTGCTTCCTCTCATATTTAACCACAGTTTATATGCAACTCTTCTGCAGCATCCTCTATTTTCAGGATTTGTTAACTGGTCTGAATGAACCTCACAGCATCTGCACATATGATTATTCCTTGATATTGAAGGTGATGTGAGGTGTCAGGTAAAGTAAGTGATTTCCCTGCTGAGAACACCCCACATTGGGGAATAGAGTCCTAAACTCCTGTCTGTCCTGACCTTTAACTTGTTGGCCATCAATATTCTAATATTTAATACCATCTTAATACTTTTTAATGTCCATAGCATTTTCCATCAATGTAGTGCAATAAATGCCCATGAACTAGTGCCAGCAAGCTAGCCTGAACCACATGAGTCTCTTCAGCCCATGTGCCACTGCACCTTCATCCCTCACTTAAATTTTGCTTTCTGCAACAGTAGGATTAGGGAAGTTCAAAGTCTGCTGTAAGATGTCTCTGTGCTTGCATCTCTAATCTGTCTGGGTCGAGGACCTCTGTAAATAATAGGCAGAAGATCAACGTGAAGTAATGCCATGAAAAGCCATGAAGCAGGAGGACATCAGAGGAAGAATGCCAAATGTAAACAAATTGAAAACATTAGATAAAATCTAGGAGTATCCTAGCTTGGTGAAAGCAGTGTACATCTGAGTGCTTGATGGTGGTTGTAAATCTCTAGAGATGGAGAAAAACAGAGAAATGTGATTACTGCAACAAGTCTCCTCTACAGCTCTGACAGTTTTGGAAGAGTTTCTAGATTTTGGAGCAGTTTAGGAAGAATGCCAAGGAACCTCATTCAAAAATAAGCTAGTCCGGATTCTGACGCTAAGGGTCAGGGAATAACCTGGGGACACATTGCAATTGCCTTAGTTTCATCAATTTCAATAGTTCAGATAGTCAAATAAGAAGAGTTTTGCCATTGACATCACTGGGAAAAGGACTTGACCCATAAACTTAAATTCAGCATCTTCATGTTCTCAGAAGCCAGATACACAGAAGATCAGAAAGCAAAGGAGTGTTATCCTCTGGTGATCTGTTATGATATTTCATATTCCTGTATACCTTTGGTTTTCATTTTGTACTTTTAATTCACATGATGAAGTTTTCAGAGAGAAGTGGATGTCATGTGTAAGCTGAGTTCCTTGTTTTTTTCTTTTGCCTGTCACTGGCTGCATGTTCTCTATTGATGTCTTGTTCCTGGTACTTGACACTGACCATCTTGTCTGTGAAAGGAAGCACTCCAGCTGGCTTGCCTGATAAGAAGAAAGGAAAGTTTGCTTGGTTTAGTCACTCCACAGAAACCCATGGTAATGTTCTGCTGCACTATGTGTCCACATTGCGTGTATCTGCGTGTGTGTCCATATATCTCTATACAGACTGCAATATAATATGGCTTTGTATACTTCTGCATGTGCGTGCCTTGCTTTCTCTATTGCTTGTGCAGTGTCCTCTTCATGCACTCAAGAGAATAAGCTGCTCTGCAAATCAATCTCTTGCTAATGTCTTCAAAATTGTTTTCCATTTGCACATAAGCTCAAATATGTCTTGAAAGTGCTTTACCTCATCTTCAAAGATAACTTGTGAAATATCAACGTTTTGGATTTTTTCCTGAAGGGCTTAGTCTGGACCTAAAATTTTAATTATTAATGTTGTTTATTTCTTACAGCTTACTTGACCGTTTCATGTACGTCAAAATATGAATTCAGTTGATTCCTTAGTTTGTCTTTCCAAATAGACACAATGGTTAAAACATCTAGTCTTTGTAAAGGAACAGGCACCATTGGAGTACAATATTTCATAGTTATATCAGGAGACCTACAGAGTCTATTATTTCACATGGTCCTAAGAACATAGCACAAGAACTTTAGATTTTCTAAGATGTATGTTGTAGGATTGTGAATTGTTTGGATGGGGTGAAGGAAAGATAGTTCCCTTTAAGTGACATTTCTACCATAACACTTTCAGAGCAGGAACCCAGGACCTCTTTGGAAGAACCTTCTGATATCTTTTTAGCCTCTGAAAGAAGACCTGGTCCCATTGCCAATTAAACATCTGTGTGATTTAAATGCAGAACCTGTTTATTCTTCCTTTCCTCCTTTTGCACCAAGGACCCACAAATAGATGTATTCTTAGCACTGAGTAATATATTCTTGCAGGCTTTTAGAAGCCTCTCCAAAAGCTAGTAGTGCATGCTCTCAAGTCTCATCTGAGATACATATCCAACCAGAAGTACAGGTCATGTCCTGAAGTTCTATGAGGCATCTGAGAGATCTTTTTAAATCCTCCATATTTCAGTTTAAAATGTGTTGGTTTGGGTTTTTTTTTTCATTTGCTTTTTGGATTTGAAAAGGTGGGAAGAGGAAGGAGAACATATATTGGTTCCTATCCATTGTCCTCACTTACAATGGATGGTTATATACTAAGGAATTATTAGAGCTCATACAGGAGCTGGATGCCACTGGTGGAATGGAAATATTTTTTTTTTATATGATCTCTAGAAGCAAGTAAAATAGTGAGATTTGACGACAGATAAAAAAATATGACAGGTCCTTGAATCCAGATGAGATAGGTTCACACCTATAGTTACTTTTGTTTGATGTTTGTTCTGTAATACCTCTGTAGAAGTTTAGGAGGTTGTCCAGTTCTTAGTTGGTGAGTGTCAACATAAAATCTACACTGTAGTCTATATTAATCAGCTCCTTTTTTTGTAATATCTGAATGGGTCAGAGAGTCTGCATTCCTCTCTTATCCCTGTATGGCCAGTTTATAAGTGTGAGATTGAAACACATTAGTGGTTAGTAAATGATAGAGGAGCCATCAGTATTATTTGTGTGGTACTTGCTATCAGGCTAACAGAAGCTGTTTCTTTGAATACATGTCAATCTGGTACTTAGTATTCCAATCATCACACCAGAGACTGGGGAGGGCAGTGAGGGGATTGGGCTGGTGCAAGTAAAGGGACATTGTTTCCACTGAATCAAATACAAGCTTCTTGTTGGCTTTGCTAGGTTTTCTAATTTTCAGTGGTTCTCATTCAAAACATTTCCAGGAACTGACACTGAAAGAAGGCAAGCAGCTGCTTCTTCCCTTTTCTCTAGCATTGAGTAACCAGAGTATGTTCCTGAAGTCTACCTGCCCAACCTGACCTGTGCAGGGAGGCACTAAACTTGCTCAGCAAATTGCTTAATCCTCAGGAGCTGCAGCTGAGAGTCTTTTCATGAAGCCAGTTCCTTCACTCATGTGATTCCTAAACAGGTGTGCCAGGTTCTAATGGCCAACCCTCTCTTTTTTCTTCCCTTTGACTCTTACAGTGAGCATGCCCACCAGTGAGACCGAGTCCGTGAACACAGACAACGTCCCTGGAGCAGATATTGAAGGCGAAAACTGCGGTGCTAGGCTAGCGTGAGTACATACACCCAGACACACCTGTGGAGGGCTTGGATGGAGCTTGGTGAGTTAAAGCCAGGGAAAATGTCAGGCTTATTAAGGGGAAGAAAACCCCACAGCGGATGAAAGGAGAGGGTGCAGAAGATCTATTGATTGCAATTCTTATCTTCATTGCAATGTAAACTTACTCTGGACGTTATTTGAGAGCATCTGTGTTTACATAGATGTAAATAAAGTACAGAATGCCCAGGATAAGCAGATCTGGTTTTGTGTAATAGCTAAAAGAAGAGCTGATGGATAGCAGTGTCCTTATTTTAAAATTCCTCTTTGGTAATAGATAATCAAATTGAGTATTTGTAGAACAAAGCATGGAAATTACTGGTTTATTTAAATTTCTCTCATGATTCTTGTACACAATCCTGCCACCTGAATGACACCCTTCAAATGCTGAGCACAATACTATAGTGACAAAGAAATGTATCAGTTAGGAGGGAGTAATGCCTCCTTGAAATTTCACCATTGCAGTTGATGGAGATGCTCAAGAATGTGTGAGATAGCACTCATGGAATACCATATTATATGGTGTATTTTTTTAGTATCACAGAGAGTAAGAATAGGCACGATGAGACCTTTCTTCCCCTTTGCATGACTTGAACAAGAGCAGCCTTTATGCTCTGGAGGAATATGTTAGTCCCTCCAAATTTCCTTGGAAAATGGGCTAAGCGTATCAGTGCTATAGCTGGTACCATGCTGGAGTATTTTGAGGCTCTGTCCTGTCCTTAGACATACCTTGAACCTTTCAGTGTTGGTGAAATGCTTATCATAAGTAAATAAGAAATGATCAGGTTTGTCAGACCTGTGGTCCAGCTGGCCAAGTGTTCAGGTCCTGACAGTGACAGGAGGGTAGGTGCACAAGCCTGGTCATTTCCTACATTCTAGTCCCCTTTTACTGCTCACAAAATAATACTAATTGGATTAAAGATGAAAATTTTGCTATTAATGGACCTGTTGCCCATGGATTTATCTGAACCCACTAACACTGTCTGCCCTCACAATCTCCTGTGAAACAACTTTCAGAAGTTCACTACCTGCTGTGTAGACAAGTACTTTCTTGTATCTGTCTTAAACTGATCTGCTACTACTTTCAGTCAACATCCTCTCCTTCTAACACTGTGAGATTGGGTGACCAACAGTTCCATGTTCAGCTTATATCTATCACTTTTATGACTTTTTAAACTTGGATTGTATCTCCCACACACCCTTGGCCCTGTGTACAAAGTGAAGTGGAGGAGATCATATCTGCTTTACAAGATGTGATAGGTGGAATATGTTGTAAATTCAATCTGCTTTCCTGTAAGCATCAGCCAGTGACTTAAAAATCCCAAAAGAAATAATTTGTGATAGCTTTCCTTCACCTGCCTACCATTGCCTACCTGCTGAGTCTTTCAGTTTACATTATGAGGTCTCTTCTGAGGAACAAGTCTAGACCTATTCACAGCACAGAGGCAGCTGTAGCCCTTTCTTTAGCACCCCACCAAGCTGCTTGTGCTCTTGTCGCATTACAGGAAACAGCAGCTGGATATATGACCACTTCTTCCAGCTGGATCCAATTTGGAGAACCATCTCTATTCTGCAGTTGTGACTCCCAACACAATGGGTCCCCTGGTGCTACACAGTGCCAAAAACAATAGCAACTGCTACTATGAAGTTGCATATATTTTTAATATTACAGCTTGCATTCATGTAATGTCCTTAATCCCAAAGGATCCTAAAGCACTTTATGAACTGTAAAAGCAGGGATTGTTTTTACAGCAGTAGAGTTCAGCCACCTTCAGGGTAAGATGTGATAGATGTTTAAAAACAAAGGGTATAAGGAGATGTACGAGGGATAGCTTGGTTTGCACTGAAGATACCTGGGGAATTTTGGCAAGCAGAACATAATCATCTTAACTGGAATGTGGCCAGGAGAGCTGAAGTTAAACCCAACTCTAAAGGTAATCATTACTTAGAATGGAGTTTATCTAAAACAGCCCGCAGGAGAATGGCTCTACTGTGGTCTGGCACCACAATCGCTATCCTCCTGACATTAGGAGAAAGGATGGCTACATCAAACACGTTCTAGGGAAGAAGGCATTGGAAAATGACAGGAAAAGAGAGCTTCATTTCTTCTTCCCATGTTGTAAGTGTTAAAACAGGAGTCTAAGTTTCACCAGAGCAGGACATGCAAGATTCAGGAACATAAACAGTTTCCTTACCACTTTCTACTTCATTTTAAAATGGGTGATGAATAGTAAGGGAATTGAAGTCTGTTATTGAGAAGGGTTTTTTTTACCCCTTACCCAAGGACAGCTAAGATCCTCAAGGCCTCGCTCAGATTGCTTTTCATCTCTAAGAGATGAATAGGCTCCTTCATCCAGGAAAACGAATGGCTATATCATTGTATTTCAAATTCTGAAGCAAGATGCAAATTTTTCCAATGTTTCCTACTGTTGTTAAATGTTGGTTTCAAACTTGTGGAGCTGAAAATACCTTAGTTATGGCTAAATTCAGATCTGCCTTTGATTCTGAGACTTGGAATCCTTTCTGGTTTGTTTGTTGTTTTTTTTTCATCACACACCCAGGCAGAGAGAGAAACCAGCTTTCCCGGTTTCAAGAAATGTTAAGTCCCCTTCTTCTCACTGAGCCCTCATTTTAACATGCTATAGGTCAATATTCCAACTGGAATATATAAAATGTAAGGAAGAAATAGCATTGATTATTTTCTTTTTTTTGAACCTGACTAAGAGAGTCAGAATTTTTTCCTGTGTTCAAGAACAGAGATAATTCATGTGGGAAGTTAGCTGAGCTTTTCAAATAATTTTCTCATCTAGTGCTAGTAACTTTGAGTAAGTATTAATAGTTATAGTCTGCAGTCATGCCATCCTGATTTACGCTAGTTGAAGATTAGGCCTGGACTTCTGAGCAGTCACTTGACCTCTGGATTTTGTTTTTACAGTTGAAATGGCTAGACAGGTTTCTTTGTTGACTTTCACCTGTTGCACGAGTCTTCATTTCTACCAGCCTGCTAAAATCACCTAGTGGCCATAAATCGCCATTGCCTTGCCATAAACACTTTTTTTTCCCAGAGGGCAGAGACTGCACTGGGCAAGCTGCCACCAGACATGACTGAAGCAACAGGGAGATTTCAAGTCTAAGGTGATATATTTATTTATTTAGTGGCATCACACTGCTAGGGTATTTAACCACTCCAACACCACCACCATGACTACAAGCTGAGTTTTCCATTAGAATGCACTCTTGTTAGAATGAAAAAAGTACCTGGAAGACTGAAAGAAAAAGCATTTTTATTGAAGATAACTTAGAATTACTGGCTGTTCTTTCTGTTCTTACAAAACACTGTAGAGCTTTGAAAAGCTGGGTCTGTGAATGACAGAAAGACGTACTTGAGAAGCCAGGCTCAAGCATGCCTTTTGGAAAAGGAGATCTTCCTAGACAGCCTTTCTCAGCTCCACAGAGACATATGCTATGTGAGATCAGGAGAGTACCTCTCAAACACAAGCTATCTCCTACTGATGAATTGTCTCAAAGAAGCTTTTATTTCTGTAGAATCCTTACTACAGAAACTGTCTTCATTAGCTGTGCTGTCTGGAGCAATGCCAGTCTTTAAACCACCAGAAGGAATTTCAGGAAGAATATAACATCTAAAATATCTTTTCTTATTGTATAAATTCGATGTCTTAGACAACAAACATTCATATTCATTCCTGGTGTAATTCTGATTCCATCAGAAGAGTTGTGGAAGGAAGTAGTTCTCTTCATAACATGGGTGTTAGTTTTGTCAGGCATCTGAATTTGAAAACAGGTTTTTTAGCGTTCCACAGGACATGGAAAAGCATCCCACAGCTTCCACAGTCTATCATGCATGTCATGGTTTTGCCTTGTACTGCACTGGTATCTGTCCTGCAGTAGAAACACAACAGCTTTTATCCTCAAGGACAACATTTGAAAGAGGAACTTATCTCACTCCTAAGGTATCACAGCTTTAATAATGTGTTGCCTCTGGGTACAAATAAATGTGTTTCCTCTGCAGCAAACATCAGGGGGATAAACCCAGAACTGGAAGCAATGAGTTGCTGCTTACAGGATTGCCTTATACCCAGGACTTCCCAATAGCAAGTAATTTCCCTGAACCTCTGTGTTTACTGCTGTGCCAGTCTTTGGTTCCCGAGGACAGGCTATTGCTCATCATCAGTAGTAATCTGTTCTGAGGGATGGCAACATATATAATATTCCAATACAACCAGAATGCCAAGTTTCTAATACAACCATGTAGATCTGGAGTGCCACAACAAAGCTTGCTTTTATACATGTGTATTAGGTATAAAAAAGTTCTTTATGGAAAGTCTTTCATACAGCCTCAATAGAAAAATGGAGCACTTGATTTCAAAGGAAAAGAGGGCTTAAAATTATCTGCTTTCACTGAAACAATAAGCCACTTGGTGTTTTCACCTTGGCCAAGATTTCCATACATTTAGGGGGCATTTCAACTGCTTTTTCACCAAAGAAGGTTAAAAAAATAAAACAGGATAAAAGAAACTGAACACTGGCTTTCCGAGTGAAAACAGCATGTCCTGAAAATACTATGAATGATGAAAGCTTTCTCTGGCAGTTGAACTGTCAGTGATTTTCCTTTGGTGCTTGTCTGGCTGGGAATGTAATTCCTATGCAATTCTTGCAATAATCAGCATAGGAGGCAGTGGTAAAGACAAGAGAGTCAGTTTGCTTACAGGTTTGATATAGTTGCTTCTGGTTTTCACCTAATGAGAAGATAGCCTCCTTCTGTGAGGACCAAAGTCCCCATCACATCAGGAGGAGCAGTGGTAAGAAAAGTCTGCCAAAAGCTCTGCATCCACTGCTGACTTCAGCAGGGAAACACGCAGAGTTGATTGACCCTTATGTGTCAGCTTCAGCTACTGCTCTCTGATTTATTATGAGCAAGGTGCTTTTGGCATTCACAGTCAGCTCCATATAGGTGTCTAAAGGAAAACTGAGTGCCCTTGTGGAGGAGGAGTTATCTTCCTACTTCAGATTCGGTGACAGACCTTGCCTATGACTTGTCATGTGCAAGATTATTCACTAAATGCTGATGTGCTGGCCTGTTTTTCCAGCCTATAAGAAAGCCTGTTGAATAGCAAACCAACTCAGTTTTAAGCTAGACAGATCCAGTTTTCTTAAAGATATTCTGTAGATTCATACTGCTGCTGGTCAACAATCAGCTCTCTCTTAAAACCAGCATCTCTCTGTCAGGTCAACGTGCTCTTCAGTGCTTCTTCAAGAAGGGCAAGAATGCAAAAAAGAGAAGAGGCATCACTGTGTAGACTCTGCTGAAGTTCAGTGACTGCCTCTGCAGGAGGATCTCAGTCCACTTCAGTATGCAAGTTTTTCGGGGCCAGTCATCTGTTCTGCTTTGTTGGAAGCTTTTAATTAATGGTCCGAAATGAGAAATGATCATTGCACATCCCCCATGTGCGTTGCATTGTACAGGCAGAAGGATGGAGGCTTGTTGCTTCAGTTTGAGTCGCAGAGGCAGAACTGAGCATACAACTTAGCCCTAACACTTTATTAGGCTGAGAGATTATCAGATATGCAGTATGCATTCCTGAAAATGTCATTCCACTATTTGCTCATGTCCACAGTAATATGCAGAAAAAAGGCCCTGGGGTGGGAATCTTCTCTTCAGAAATGCCAACATCCTGACTAGAAGGAATGAAATGTCATCAGCTGGAAGTGAGAGAGGGAAAAATGTTTTGCTGTTTGACTAGTCACTGCAAGAATGCACCATATTGCACCAAAGCAGAGTCTATATCACACCAGGTTTGCATTCCTTCAGTTCTAAAATCTGTAAGATTCCCACAGTGCAGCTCTTTGGATGTTCCCCAAAGTTGTGTAGAACCTAGAGGCATAGTAAGCAAATTTCTGTATTAAAGTTTTTCTGAGAGCTTTTCCTGGTATCCAAGGGCTTTTGTAAGTCCTCATGAAGATAGTTGCCTACAAGTGGGATCATAGTGTGACAATAGTTGTGACCAGCATGCCAGATAATTTTGTGATCATGGTTAGTACTTTCTACACCCAGAAAATGTTTGCAGCATGGCCTTTGTGTCATGCTTGGAGACCTACAATTTTTTTCCACAATTTTTTGTTGTCTGTGCAATCATGAAAGTCCTCAATCCCTGTTTTACAGGAGTGTCACAACCTTCACAAGTGCATAGTTTCTCCTCTCTGGTGTCAACCATGAACAGAGAAACAAAGATTTTATCCCTCAGATTGTATATATTGCTACATTTGAATTACGCTGATTATCCTGAGTTTATGCCAATAAAATCTTTACATTTCACTGCCTTATCTGTATGTGGTACATGACTATGTAAGGTTAAAAGAGTTTTAGAAAATTTAAAAGATAACTAGACAAAATCATCAAGGAATGCCAACATCCTGACTAGAAGGAATGAAATGTCATCAGCTGGAAGTGAGAGAGGGAAAAATGTTTTGCTGTTTGACTAGTCACTGCAAGAATGCACCATATTGCACCAAAGCAGAGTCTATATCACACCAGGTTTGCATTCCTTCAGTTCTAAAATCTGTAAGATTCCCACAGTGCAGCTCTTTGGATGTTCCCCAAAGTTGTGTAGAACCTAGAGGCATAGTAAGCAAATTTCTGTATTAAAGTTTTTCTGAGAGCTTTTCCTGGTATCCAAGGGCTTTTGTAAGTCCTCATGAAGATAGTTGCCTACAAGTGGGATCATAGTGTGACAATAGTTGTGACCAGCATGCCAGATAATTTTGTGATCATGGTTAGTACTTTCTACACCCAGAAAATGTTTGCAGCATGGCCTTTGTGTCATGCTTGGAGACCTACAATTTTTTTCCACAATTTTTTGTTGTCTGTGCAATCATGAAAGTCCTCAATCCCTGTTTTACAGGAGTGTCACAACCTTCACAAGTGCATAGTTTCTCCTCTCTGGTGTCAACCATGAACAGAGAAACAAAGATTTTATCCCTCAGATTGTATATATTGCTACATTTGAATTACGCTGATTATCCTGAGTTTATGCCAATAAAATCTTTACATTTCACTGCCTTATCTGTATGTGGTACATGACTATGTAAGGTTAAAAGAGTTTTAGAAAATTTAAAAGATAACTAGACAAAATCATCAGTATAATTTTTGTGTTTGTCTTTCTAGATAATTTGAATTACATGGTTGCTATTATAAAAACATCCATAGTGATCTGAAATGTTTTTTGTATAGGCTTCTATACCCTGATTTTAAAAAGCAGTTTCTCAGGACATTCCAGAGCTGGACACAAATGGGGACACTCCCTTTCTTCCGGTGATATAAAAGTCCCAGGATACCAGAGGTGCAAGAGATGCAGGTTTAAATTCTTAGCAGACAATCTGGTCCACACTGAATTCTTGGCAAATGCCAGTTTGGAGAGTCACACACAGGCCATGACAAGGCCCCAAGTCCAGAATACTTGACAGCCCCTAGAGATGCCATAGAAGTTTTGGGGGTTTTAATATGACTATTTAATCCTGGTTCTGGATGACAAAGATTCTTGATCTTCAGGTTCATTTGAAAAATGTGTTTCAGATTCAGGCGTAATGTTTTCAGAACCAATTATTGTACAGTTTGTGTTTCAAAAATTTCATTTTACTCTTGGATTCTGCCTCTAAATATAAATCTCTTCCTCCTTCCTTGTCCTGTTCTATGTATATAGCACACCCACATGTGATAAAGCCTTCTGCCATAGCAGTAAGGCAATGGTGGGGGGGAGGCTGTAGCTAACCTGTAGGAGCACTGAATGCACTTGGCTGCTGCTCATAATGCTCCAAAGATATAATTATCACATGCATGATGAGTACTATACCTGCCACACCTCTTCTGCTTAAATTAAAGATGCTTTAAATGCCACACAGCTCCCTTGCTGGGAAACCATTAGCCAGAGGAGGTGTCACCAGAGGACTTCACACTCTCTGTCCTTTGCTTTCCATGAGACAGGCTCCCCATGCCATCTCTCTAGCTCTACTTCCCCTCCTTCCCAGCCTTTTCCTCTGAAAGTCCCCACAATCTCCTTCTCAGTACCCATCTTTCTCTTTCATTGTAATTTTTTCCTTCTTTTTCTTTCCCCTGTCTTTGTCCAAGCTTTCTTTCCTGTTGCCTGTAAATCTGATCCAGTTTGTAGGCAGTGTTTATCAAGCAAGAATTCTCAGTGAGAAGCTGGGAGAGCATTAACAATAATGATGTGCCTTGTAGGTGCTTCACATGTAATCGTTGTTAAAGCTCACTTTGTCTCTGCAGCATAATTTAGCATTCTGTTCAGCCGGTGCATTATTTCTTCTTTATCAAAAGAGTTCTTGAGTATGTCTGTAACCAAACTGCTGCCTCGTATGTGGCCTAGACAAGCT